TCTGTGACCACCTGGACTTAGTTCCTCCAGTGGGAGATCTCCTTGGTCTTGGTTGCAGGAAGGGATAGGATGGCTTGTCGGAGTCCACCGGTTTCCCTGGCAACGAGCGCTCCTAACACGCAGCACTGCCCGGTCCAGCATGCCCACTATGGGGCAGGCAGATTGTCTCGTGAGAAACAAGGATGGCTACAGCAGTGTCCTGGCGCCGCCCACTGTGATCTGTCCAATCTGAAGGAAGCCAGTCTTCAGGTCTGTTCAGTCCCTTTGGCTTGACGGCTTAATTTCGTCACCTTCTGGGACTGGGGAATGAGGTTGGAGAAAACCTGGTGCACGGTCCCCTTCCACTGCCCGGCTGGCGTCCACTGCCTAATGCGTTCCTAACCACTGCTGCTAAGGGATTCTAATGTGGAATCCCACTTAGAAAGACTTCTTGGGTCCAGGAAATGAAAGAAATTCACCCATGTTTATTCTGTGAATTATACGACTTCCCTTTTAACGTTCAGAGCTCCGATGGAGCTCTAAAGTGCAGTCACCCCAAGCTGTCACTTGTCCAAAACTCCCTCATGGAAGAGCCCCTTTACCAATCCCCAAATCAAGAGGTCTGTTCCAGACTCTGCCTCCTGCTCCCCCTGAGGGTCAGTCTTCCCACATGCTGTGGTCCAGTTTTCTCCGCGTCGGAAAGGTCAGAATCCCTGGGTGTCCAGCAAAGGACTTGGAGAACACAGGTGCTGTCTCAGGATGGGAAGACAGTGTGGGTGCTGGAGTCCCGTCCTCTCCTGTGTTCAGAGAGGCCTGCAGGAGCTGGGCATGCAGGGACACGCTGGGACACGCTGGATGGAGCCCAGCTTGTGCTTCTCCTCTCCTGCACGGGCTTCCGCACAGGATGTCCTCCTGGGAGGAGGGAAAGACGTGCATTTCTGGGTGCCAGCCTGGGTACCTTAGAGGAGCGGAGAGGACGTCCAGGCCCTGCCTCTGGCCGTGAGGACAGGCAGCCCTGACTGTGCGGCTCTAAAGCACCACCTGTGCCTCCCGCTCCTGTGACTCAACACACCACAGACCTGCAGAGGGACTCCCTCTTCTCCCCTTCCTGATACAAGGTAGAAGTCCACAAGCTTCGGTGTTCGGGGGGCTCTCCAAACAGGGTGCATGCACACAGCTCGGCCCCTGGCCTAGGCTGTGCCGCCCCAGGCACACCTGCAGACACCCTGGTGAGGAGAGGCAGCAGAGTCCAGCAGGTGCCCTTCCTGCACGCCCCTAGGCCACCGTCCCCATGGTCCTGATCACCTTCTTGAGGGCCAGGAAGTGGAAATCAGAATGTGCATTGACTTCCAGGCCACCCCGCCAGGGAGGGAACGAGCCAGATCCTCTCATCTTAAAAGCCCAAACTCTGATTTCCACATTTCCTGGGCAGAGAGATACTGGCCGGGAAAAGTAGCTTCAAAAGAAGGAAGGAGAGGGGTCTGCCGGGAGCCGGGGGGTCGGGGGATGGTGCGGAGGCGAGATGGGTGGAAGGCCACCGTCCCCACCTCCCAGGGGCCTGGCAGCTCACTGTTAAATGTCTTCTTCTGGGACATCTCTGCACCGGTGTGTTCCGGGCAGGTTGCTAATGTTCCCCCCAAGTCCACGTGCTGAACCCTTAATGCCCAACCCTGCATGGCATGGCATCCCAGGCTGGGCCTGGGGAGGTAACTGGGGTAGATGAGTGGTGTGGGTGGGGCCACTAGTGATGTATAAGAGGAAGAGACCCCAGCCAGCATGCTGGCTCCGTCTCACCACACGGTGCCCTCTGAGGTCCCTGCCAGCTGGACTTCCAGCTCCAGAGCTGTGTGCTAAGTAAACCTCTGTGTTTCATAAGTTACCCAGTTTGTGGCATTCAGTTACAGCCACAAAGAAACAGACAGAGACAAATATCAACAGCTAAAGTTGATGATATGGAATCACCTCATTCACTAAGTCATACAATGCCGCAGTCCGGCTGCAGCAAAATAACCGGGGGGTGACGAACAACTTGCGTAGATTGATACAGCAGGAGTGGGAGCCGTTTATTGCAGGACAGGAGGGGTATTTATACATTCCACACAGCTTATCTAATTAGCATAAACTAGATACATCAGTCAACCAATCAGGAATCTCCACACTTAATGGCTCGCTGGAGTTACTTCACAAACCACTCCCTCTGGAATTTTGCCAGGCGCCATCCAGACTTGTTTACAGATTCTAACATTTCTCTGGCAAAATGTCAGGCACCATCTTGACTTGTTTACAGACTCTAACAATACAATCAGATGAACTATTATCAGAATTATGGAACATTTTTGTCCTTTGTTTCTCAGCAAGTCAAATTAAAATTTTGTGTGCTTTTAACCACAGTAATAATTATACTGATATTAAGTAGATATTAGTAATTGTGTTTACAAATTATTGCAGCTTAAGATGGAAAAAACCACATACCAGTAAATTTTTTAAAAATATTAAACTTCAATTTCAAAATCCTACACTAGAGAGCTAAAAGAGAAACTTTAAAACAGCAATAAAATCATGGCTTTCAGAGATAAACTGAAGACGTGGCAAAGATTTTGTCTAACTTGCTGATTCCTGAGGGAAGTAGACCATCTTGCCCCCTTTTCAAAGGAGAGATCAGAGTCCTCTGTTCATGTAAACAAGGGAAGTTGGAGAGAAGGTACCAGTGGACTCAGTGTGCTTTCTTTTCCTTCCAGACAGAATCTGCTGCAGTGTCTACAGACGAGAATTATTCCCACTGCTATCGGGTACCCACCCACAACTCGCACAGGCATAAAACAGCTCAGGCAGCAGGGTGCGGAGCCCCGGGAAGAATCAAGTGATGCCCGAGACTCTGGCCTTCCTCTGAAAGGATATTTAAGTAGTCTCTCTGGTTTATTTCAAAGTCTTAATTTTTCCCGTACAAAAGATGTCTGGTAATTGCTGTATAATCTGTTTTCTAAAAGAGTAAGCTTTTAACATGAGGAACAGTTCTATGAGAGGAACGTTCTGTTCGGCCCCAGCTGCTGGCTGTGTTGCCTGGTTGCCACCAGCGGTGAAAAAACACGCAGAAGAGTTAGAAATGCCCCTGAAGAGCGCTCGCCTGCGTCCTCTCTGGACTCTGTTGTGTGAACATTTCTGTCATCAGAACAGGTTGGGCCTTTGCATAGAAATGTGGGAGAAGCCTCTGGCAGGGCAGCAAGGGACCAGGGCAGGGTGGGTTGAGAGTCCCCGGTGTGGCTCGGCTTGGTCCACACCTGTCAGATCTGCAGGACAGACGCTGTGTGAGAAGTAGCACCATCGGCTGCCCAAAGCGTCGCTGGAGATCATCATCTGCCTTTGAGGGGGATGAGATGACTGGGGCCATGAACATGGAGTCCCGGGCTTCCGGTTCTCAGCTGTTTTTCAATCCACTTAATACCCCCGTGGCAAAAGCCTCAGGCCTGGGTCCACTGCTCTCCCTGGGTAACACGCACAGCTGTTCTGTGCCACTGTGATGACACAGTGGGCCGGGAAGGACCCATCTGGCAGGACTTCCCCAGTGCTGCCCTGTTTCCTTCCATTTGAAAATCAACACTGGCTTTCTACTTAGGATAATGATGATAATGCCGTAAACTTGCCCTTAAAGAGATGGATTTTCATGCAAAACAGACCTGGAGGACAAGAGGGAGGCACATGACATGGGGGAGGGACAGCCCGGAGTCTGTCCAACTTTGAGCCCTTCGCCCACTGTGTGACCCCCTGCAGGACACACACCTTCAAGGTTGGGGTCTCTCTAGGTTTAAAGTGAGACCTGCCTCTCGCCCTGTGTTCCCAGGGTACAAGGCGAGAGCCGGAGAGCCCCGCGGGCCAGAGGGCTCAGACAGAGGGGACCTACACTTTCACGTAGGAGTCCTCTTGAGGATAAGGCTGTCAGGTGGAGACTGAGGTGACCAAGTCACCAGAGTGGCCCCAGGGGCAGCTGAAGAGTGTGCCCTGTGCCCTCTGCCTGACCGGCTCACTCAGCTGCAAAGAAGAGCAGCACCCCGAGCTCCACCTGGAAACGCAGCCGGTCCGGAGGGTGCCGTTCCCCAGGAGTCCTAGGACGTCCACAGGCAGACCTGTGCTCCAGGACGGGAGCTCCTGGGGGCGGGAGCGTGCCTTGGAACAGAAGAGCTCCCACGTGCAGACGCCTGCTCTCAAGCCCTGAGCTCCGGCTACTCCAAGACCAGTGGAGAGGATTAGAAGGAAAGCTCTAGAAACCAACCACATTGATTTCCTGAAAGAAGACACAGAAAAGACCCAGTTACAAGGTTGGCATTAAGTTCAGTGGGCTCCACGGGACGGATTTAGGCTGAGGGCAGCCGAACATGTGTGTGGAGATGGTGTGTGTGGTGTGTGTCCGTGATGGCAAAACCAGAGCTGGTTGTGAGGGAAATCACAAAAACATCAGGTAAGAAACCAGCGGGGAAGGGGCCCGTTGCCCTCCCCCTCAGCCTTTCCGGGAAGCCTCCTTAACCAGCCCTACCTTTTGGATGGTAGGTAACTGCCCCACTAGCCTGACTCCTCCCTCTGCAGTGTAGCAGGTGCCTGTGAGCCCAGAGCCCTTATCCCCTCTCTGTTTCTGTGAGCTTGTGCTGGAGACCCTGTGCAGGACGGGCACGGTTGGAAAGAGAGATGGGAGTTCTGGGTGTCCTATCCTCGCACTAATTTTTGTAGAAGTCTCAGACAGCAAAACATACATCATTTCAAAATGGCATAATGGTTACATTTTATCATTTGGATTTTTTTGCTTAATATCTTCCTTTTTATACTTTGTGTCTTTGAATGATTATTTTCTACTCAAGCTGTGCACAATGGCATGATTTTGAATTCTTTTTTCTTTCTAAAGAATTACCGACAGTATTGGGGTGGTCTGTGTTAGCGCCCATCCTCCTGCTCCCGGCTGCTCCCCGGAGTGCCATGCCTCCGAGACTTCCCTCAGCCTCATTTTTCTAATGTAAGAAGGAGCCACAATGGAATTACTTTAAGATGTCCATTTTAATGTCCCAGAAATTAGAAGAATAAACGAGAGGACAAGTGAAACCCAAACTATAAATGCATTTAGACCTTTAGAAATTTCATTTTTCCTTAATTAAGGTCTATTTTGAAAATCAGTGCTGGGTCATCTTCATCATGAGCCCTTGTTGGAGAACAGATGAGTACTTCTGTGATTGCAGTTGTACAATGCAGCAGTCTGTCAGCTTCGCTGGGGACATTGCCAGCAAGCTTCGTGTAAATGGTCCAGAGGAGTAAACGCACGATACAGTCATGATAGCTGGAGGCCAGAGATGAGTAAGAACCGGGAAGATGAACAACTAAGAAGCAGTCACCAGGTAGTCTGGGAGGGGAGGGCCTGTGCCCCAGGGGTCACCCGAACCCTCCTGGTAGACATCAGGAGCTCTGGACAGTAGGAGAGGCCATCCCAACCACCTGCACGCACCACAGTGGCTGGCCATCTGGCGACCTCCGCTCAGCCAAGGGCACTCTGGTGCAGATGGTGACATCCAGGTCACTCGCAGACGTGATAGCATAGAAGCTGCGGCGGCGGCTGCTGTGATCCTCTGGGGACGACACAGAGGAGACCATGGCCATTTCTGTGTGTGAAATCAGCAGGTCAATGAAGTCGTTAGGAGATTCACATGAAAATTGGAAGGGAGCACGTCTAGGATTTTTTAAAAATGAAACTTAATTAAGATCTATTCAGTATTCCAGAAGGCTCCATGTGGAGTGACGGCATCCAGAGGAAAGGAAAGCAGAGGGGGAGAGCCGAGGGGGAGGGAGGGAGGGAGGGAGGGAGGACGCTCAGACCCCAGCCCTGGGGGCGAGGGGCACGCAGGGCCTGTCTCGGTTATATCCAGAATGGAGTGAGGAGAGCAGGACATCTTCGGCTTTCCTTCTTGCCCCAAACCAAAGAAATCTGGGCGAGGTTTCTCTGTGGATGAGGACAGCAGGCAGCATCACCCCAAAGCCACAGGCTGCAGAGCCCCCCCCCGCCTGTTTTTCCCCGGATCTCTCCGCCCAGTTCCTTCCCCAGCAGAAGGTCCACAGGGGCCTCTGGTCTTGTCCTGTGATCCCTGGAGACACTCAGAACACCAGGGAAAAGCCTAACGCCCTGGGCCCATCCTTCACTAGCAGGGAGGGGCCTTTCCTTTCATTTCCACCATGGCCTGTGGCCGGTTCACAGGCTGCTCCCTACTGTCCCCCCACTGGGTTCCATTCTCCTAATCCCCGTCCTCCTCCACCTCCTCCCCTCTCCCCTTTCTTTCCTCCCTCCTTCTCCCTCCATTCCACTCTCTCCTCCTCCTCCCCCTCCTCCGCCTCCCTCTATTCCCCCTGCTCTTCCCCCCCTCCTCCCTCTCCTCCTCTCTCCTCCTCCTTCCCCTCCCTCTATTCCCCCTGCTCTTCCCCCCCCTCCTCCCTCTCCTCCTCTCTCCTCCTCCTTCCCCTCCCTCTATTCCCCCTCCCCCTCTTCCTGCCCCTCCTCCCCCTCCTCCTTCCTGTCACTTTGCCCCCTGCATTCCATCTGGGCTCTTGGCTTCCTGGGGTGTCCTGAGGGCGTGCCTGAGGCTGGACTCCTCTTCGCTGGCCCTGGAGAACACAGCCTGTCCTCTAGCTGGCCAAGGCAGGAAGGGGTGCCTTCAGGGATGGAATCACAGTACTCAGGGATTTGCTGCAAAAGAAACAAACTCAAGGTTGAGCTTTCAGGAAGGTCTTCAAAAATACAAAAAGAGACACTGTCCCTCCCAGTCAGAAAGCCACCTGTGAAATTGGGAACCAGAGCTCCTTGGCCCCCTCGGGAGGCTGACGGTGAGGGTGGCGCAGGCTGGAAGCTGTCCTGTGGGAAGGGTCTGTCCCAGATGGTGCTCACACAGAGACCAAAAGCATCCCATCAGTAGACACTAAGCTGTGTCCACAGGAGGCCAGCTGGTCACCCCAGCTCAGCATGTTAGGCTGAGCTGCATGGGCACCACTCTGGCCCTCAGCACCAGTCCTCCCACCCACACTCAAACACAAGCAACGCCATCGCTGCCCCTACCACAATGGCACCATGCCTCAGACACATGGAAACATGTTCGTGCTCCATGCGGAAGGACAGAGCGTGCCGGTCACCTGGTGGCGTCCGGCCTGGTGGCAGTTCTATTTCAGCCACAGTGGTGCCTTGACATCCCGTACCTGGGGATAGCATTACAGATGTGGCTGTCACCATCACACCACGCATGAGGTGGGGGAGGGAAAGAGGCCAGGAGACAGAGAGGGAGCAGCTGTGCATCCCCGCGGCGGGGTCTGCTCTGGGACACACCTCTGGTGGCTCTGTCACTGTGCCAGCACCAGGGTGCACTTAGTCTCTGACTTAGGCAGCCACTGGGCGGGGCCTCAGGATGCAGCAGGAGAGGTAGGAGGCTGCTGGTGGTGCCCGCACGCCAATCCCCAGAAGCCCTGTCCACAGAGGAGCAGACTGAAACACCCGGAGAAGCCTGCTGGACCCAGAGCTGGGGACGGCCAGCCACCACTGTCCAGCGCTGTCTCTGCACATGATTGTCAGGGCGACAGTTTCCTGCAGTGGCAGCAGATGGGTCTGTTCACACAGCATCGCCCCAGACGGGAGCACTGCCCAGGCTGCGGCGGGCAGCCCAGCATGGGCATCCTGATGCACACAGCTTCGGAACACTCGCTTTCCTAAACAGTTTGTGTTGCACACAGTAAAGGCTGTGAGGACCTACCTGGCCTTGTTCCCCAGGAGGCAGCTGCGACTCACAGCTCGGCAGACCCTCCTGGAGAGCGCCCTGGTGGGCAAGGGCTCCTCCTGGGCCCTGCACTCCGCCTCACTGCCCACCTGCTCTGGCACGGCCCTCCGCAGCAGCGCAGAAGCAGCCCCCACTTCTGTTCTGCCTTCCAAATCTCAGAAATGCATCTGCCTTGGGACTCACATCCCACACCGCAGCTTCCATGGAAAGTCAGAAAGCAGGACTGCTGTGCTTAGACGGTCAGTGTCCCCGACGCTCGTGGACCAGAGGGCAATGATTGTCAGCGGGGAAACGATTGGGTTATGAGAGGGGTTAACTGCGCGTCGCTGTGGGCAGGGGGTGTGGCTGGAGGAGATGGGGACTTGGCCTCTGGGGTCTTGGCCTCTGGGGTCCACATTTTGTCCCTGGAGAGTAGAGCTCTCTGGAGCTTGCTCTGCTTCCTCGTGGCCATGTCCTGAGCCTCCCCCTCGGCCGTGTTCTTCTGCCGTGATATTCTACCCCACCTTGGGCCCAGAGCCATGGACTGAGACCTCTGAAGTCATGAGACAAAATAAACTTTTCCTCCTCAAATCATTCTTGGGTCTTTTGGCCTCAGAGGAGAAGAAAGCTGACTGACACCAGGTGGACTGGAGGTGGCCCCGCACTCCACACCACGCCCTCTCGCCCAGGCCCCTGCCTACTCCCAGGACCTCATAGGTTCCCCAACCTTGGAGGACAGAGGGTAGACTCGCGCTCTCTTTGGAATGTGGACGTAGAGCGCCGTCTTTACTGTATAAAACACAGCACTCACAGGAGGACGGGCAGCAGCTGAGCGGGCAGGCAAAACGTGTAAGTGACCGCGCCTTCGGATAAGCCAGGATGGAAAGCAGCTTAGATCCGCTGTTGGCAGGCTTTGCCTCGCTGCCTTTTCATGAAACTTAAACCAAAAGCTTTCAGAGCTTCTGAGATGTGGGATTGCAGGTGAGACACTGGAGGTCTCTACCCGCTGCTGTTGTGGGCCAGGCTACCCGGGCAATGAGCAGCAGACTCCCTTTTACCCCGAGACTCCATATCATGTAAGAAGTGCTGCTCCCAGGGAAGCCCCGCCGGGGCCCATTAGTAGTCACCTAGCACAGCACACCTGGCAACCCAAATGGCAGTCCTTATACAGTGTGAAACTGGTCGCTTTGGTTTCCGTTTCTCTTGGGCAATGTACCTTGACAGAGATTGATTGTGTAGACGTTGGTAACCGTTCTCTAATGTGTACTGAACTAGGGCCATTTTGACCCTATAAGGTCCTTGCTTGGCATCTGGACAGCCATCTCAAGAGACAGCCGCCATTTTAAGGAAAAATTTTCGCCTTCCTGCCCAAGGTCCTTTCTGAGAAAGGCCCAGCACTCCCGCCTACCAACCCCACCCTTAACTCCCTAGGACCCAGCTCTCTGAGTCCTCAGCCTGAGCTATAAAAATCCCAGAACCCTAGCCTGTGCTGCCTCTCTCCTATGGAGACGTGGCCTTTACCTGTCAGCTCTGACAGGTAGACCTCGTGTGTGTCTCTGCCTGTCTCCGACTGCCGTTCTTGCTTGCCATCTCTGGTTCCTAGTGTTCTCTTCAGGCCCTCTTCCCTCCTGCTGGCTTGCTGCTCTGCCAACCTGGAAAGTCCCGTGGGAAATACCGGCACCCATTGCGCTGTCTCGCTGACTGCCCAGTCCAGCTCTGAACCTGCTTCCTTGCAGCTACGTCAACGCGGATGTGGTTCTTGCAGTTTTTGCCTTTGAATATCCTAAAGTGCTCAGGCTCGGGGCTGTTCCTTGCAGAGACAGTTATGGGTCCCCTGGGGAGCAGCCTCTGACCAACCAGCTAAATAAAGACAAAACTGGGCCTCGGTGTGTTTCCTGAGCGACCCCCCCCCCCACAACACTGCTGCCCGCACCTCCCAAACCTGGCCTGCAGCCCTGGGCGCTGCACTCGCCCTGCTCATCTCCACTCCCAGGCGGCAGCACACGCGTGTGGACCTCAGGAAGGTCCCAGCGGAACTCAAGGCCCAGTCTCACCCACATTCTCCCACTCGGCAGAAGGTATCAGCACCAACATCTGCTTCTTTGTTGCAGCTGGAGACAGCAGTGGGTGACTGGACCCTGTCAGTCTCGATGCCCAGGTCCCTCCCGGGTCCTCACTGCTCAACGCCCCCTCCTCTCAGGCCACGCCCCCTCCTTCTGCTCCCTGCTGAGGCCTCCCTGCCATGGCTGTGATGGCTGTGGGGCGTCAGGCCTGTCTGATGTCCATCTCCATGTGCAGGGAGGTGGCAGTGCCCACCCTGGAGCATTTTCCAGCCGTCCAGTGGAGAAGCAGTGTGCTCTGCAGAGTCGGTGTGTACAGTTAGTGCTGCGGAGTGAGATCTCCAATTGCAATACCACTTCTAAAGTGCCTTTAATTATGAATGACAGTGGGGGCTGGCCCACTTGTGTCCCTGGTAGGAAAGAGCCACTATTGACCCTTAAGACTTTGGTGATGGGCCACTCTCAGACCAAGTAAATCAAAGTACCCAGGGTGGCATCAAGCACCTGCAACTATAAAGCTCTCCCCGTGATCCCAGTGCCCAGCTGTGGCGAGGACCAACATGCCGGGCCCTGGCTGCGCAGTGCAGGCTGGCGGCAGCCGGAGCACTGCAGGAGCTTGTTAGGCCATGCAGTCTTGCTCCTCCACAGCCCCAGATGTACCCAATTACTCCGAGTGCTTCCAAGATTCCCATAGCACTTATCTGCATATGAAGTTGGAGAAGCAAGCTCCAGCTGATGGGTCCAGTCACACTGTTAAGCAGTTGCTTTTAGCAGCAAGTAATCTTGCCAGCAGCAAAATCTTCTGGTGATAATTTCTTTCAGCATTTGGTTTCCTAGTGTCACTGGAAATCAAGGTCACTAAGGTTTAAGAATTTTAATTAACAAGAGCTGAGGACACAGCTCAGTGGGAGAGTGTTCGCCTAGCTACACAACGTCCCAGGTCCATCGAGTTCCACAGGGAAAACAAAGCACTCCAGAGCAAGCAGTTGGAAAGACTCCCTGCACAAGCGCACAGGACGGCTAGGATGTGCTGTGGGTAAAAGCAAAAAGTAGCTATAAGAAGTCCCTTTATTCTGTTTTGTTAAGAGAAAAAAGAGCTTAGTTTTTGTCCTAAGGTAGAATGACTTCTTGTTTTAAGATAAGAGATAAGAAAGTCCAGGGCGCTGGGTGGACAGCAGGCATGGACATGGTGAAGGAAGACGAGTCTCGTGAATGTCCTGTGGGGCCCAGCTGGCCAGGATCCTGAGCAGAAATGTCAGAGGTACCATGACGCAAGGCTCTTCTCTGGTCCCTTTTGTTAAGAAAGGTTTTCTTCCAGTGTGGCTGTGCTCTTAATTGAACTCTGAAAGGTTTTTTTCTACCTTTTAAGTAATTGGCCTAGAAAGCAAAGGTTCTGTGTTTTACCAAGATAATTTCCTGTGCTTAATGTGTTCTTT